GCGAGCAGGGGGCCTGGACCCCGGCTGTGGCCAGGAGGCAGGGCCAGGCGGTACCTGTCCGCGGCGGGTCTCACAGTTGTGCAGGTAGCTCAAGTGGTAGATCTTCAGGTTCAAGGCCCCAAAGTTCAGGTACTTCAGGAAAACCTGGAACGGAGGGTCGACCACAGGCGTTAAAGCCCGGCTTTCAGGCGCCCACAGACAGAGGGTCGGAGCCGCGGCCACGCGCATCCCTGCGGGGGGTGGGGTGGGGGGGGAGGGGGCACTCACGTCCTCGTCCTCGCTGGTGAAGCCCGGCCCGTCCAGCTTGTTCACGGCCATGACCACGGCCACCACGTCCTTGCCGTTCATGATGGGCATGGCCAAGAGGCTCCTCGTCTCGTAGCCGGTCAGCTCGTCGGCGAAGGTGCTGAAGTGGGGGTTCTGTGCGGTGCCAGAGAAAAGACAGAGGCTGTTCCTCTGTGGGCCTGGGCTCGCGGGGCTGTGGGGCCCCAGGCCAGTGCCGACATCCAGCGGCCCTGCCCCGGCCTGGGGAGCCCAGGAAGCTCAGAGGACGTGCCACGGGCCTGGCTCAGTCCCTGTCACCCCATCTTGGCTTCCCTACTCCGCAGTCCTCACAGCACCCCCACTCCCGTGCCCCACCTGGGCTGTGGGCAGAACTGGGTCCCCCCACACCTGACACCTAGGTGACCTCCTACTCCTGGCTGCCGCTCCTCCTGCCTTCCACCTGGGGCCAGACCCATGGCTCCTCCCCCAAACATACGTGTGGCTGAACTCAGGGGAGCACAGCCTGATGGGGTGAGTTCAGGGGACAGCCAGCAGGTGGGCATCGAGGGTTCCTTGGGGCCCCAGGTTCTGTCCAAAGCCCCCACAGGCCTCCAGGCCTGTGCGCCAGTTGGAGTCTCCCCACGGGGCTCCCACCACCCCAGCACCTGCCCCAGGGGGTCCCACCACCCCAAGACCTGCCCCCAGGGGGTCCCACCACCCTAGGACCTGCCCCAGGGGCTACCACCACCCCAGGACCTGCCCTCAGGGGGTCCCCCAGGGGCCCCCCCCCCGACCCCCTGCCCCCCAGGCGCCCACCCCCCCAGCCCCTGCCCCAGGGGCTCCCACCACCCCAGCACCTGCTCCAGGGGCTTCCTGCCTGGGCTGTTTCTGCTCCCGTCTCCCCCACTGGCCCCTACCCGTCCGGGCTCCTCTGTGGGGTCAGACCCTGGGCCCAGAGCCTCAGCCGGACGCTTTGCCGCTGCTGGGGGTGCACAAGCTCCCAGACACCCTGGGACGGACTGGCAGCCCCGGTCCCACACCCTTACCCTCCTGCCCAGCCACACTGCCTCCTGTGCCCTCCCGGGACCGGCCCACCCACGCCTGTGGAGGGGACCCATGTGGCCTTGCCTGCTGGCCACTCAGACCCTGTGGGACCGAAGCCTGGGGTTTCTCTAAAGTGTCCCCAATGCTGTTGCCCCTGCTCCCCCACGGCAGCCCCCAGCGCCGGCCCTTCGTCCTTCAACCACACGACTCCAGCCACCACAACTGGGTCCAGTCACCTCGGCTACAGCAGGATGCTCTGGCCAGGCATTTTGGGGACCACAGCTCTTTGCAGCGGTGGAGGGGGGGGTCAGAAACCCCGCCCC